CTAAAAAAACTTATCGATTTTATATAATTATAATAATACATTATGCGGTTTAAATATTCAATGATGCATATTTAAAACGTTAATAACTTATTATTTTAATTATTCATGTTTTTTTTTATTACTTACACCTTTCATATCCACGTTTTATATTACTTAATAAAACAAAAACTATTTATTAGTAAATAGTAAATAAATGGAATGCCTTACCTGTAAATCTGTTATGTACAATTCGTTAGGAAACTAGAACGTGCAACAACTGAAACAAAAAACAGCTACCGATCGATATTTTCAGGTTTGTTTTCTTTGAAAATATATGTCAAGGATATTTCTAATTGCAGGATATAGTCTCTTAAAATTTTCATTTCTACTCATTCTTCCGTAAAAAGTCGAATATTTCATGAGTAAAGGTTATTCTTTGTCTCTCTCTAACCTACTTCTGTCTTGTTTATCTTGATGAATTGATGAATATATTTAATTATGACATGATTAGAAACATGATGATAGATCTAAAAACAAAAAAAAATTAAAATTGTTCATAAGGAAGTATTTTCTGCATATATCCTCTCTTTATTCAAACATTTCTTTGTTTTACAATTTTAAAATTTACTGGTCTTCAACTGAATATCAATTAGTTTGCAAATTAAATATCTGTGCAGCTATAAAAAGAATTATTGCTAAAATTTGTTATTTTAATTTATTTTAATATAAACGAATTTATTTATTTACTTTTTCTCTTCTAAATTAAATATAGCTTTCCGAAAGGAAAGTAAATTATAAATTTACATACTTCGAAATTAAAAAAAAATAAATAAAATATCGACTCGTAATTTTTAATAAGATTAACGTATTTTTAATCATTTTCACCAAACGAAGCTAATAATATAAAAATCATTCATTCCTTTACGCCAGACTCATTATCATCAGCAAATTACTTGCTAATCATCTACTCTCTTTTAAATAGAGTAGCTGAAGCGCACCATCTTTATTAATTATAAAAGATCATTTTTATTCATCTTACTTTTGTATACTTCCTTACATTAAAACATTTTTGGGGTTTAAACAAGAAAAAGTAACATTATAGAACACTTGATTTAAGCCGGAACATTTACTCTTTATTATATAATAGTCTGAGACTACTTTAAAATTCCGTTACTTAACTAATTTGTAAATGAATTTAAGTACTGTTTCTCGTTATAAAATTTAATGGTAGATGCNCGACAAAAAGAAATACTGATCTTATAAGAACATTTATTTTAATTTTTTTTTAAAACAAAATTAATTATTCGTAAAAACTGAAAGCTATTAAAATGAAAGTAAACTGGATTGAACTTAATACTATTTTTAGAAAACTTTAAAAATAAATATTATTAAATTTATGAAAAAAACTGAATAAATTGGATTCTGAAAAATTAAAATAACCGTTTAAGAGCGTACATTTTACATTACGTATAAGTTGAATTTTAAGAGGTTTTTATAAATCACGCAATATTCTTTTCTTCTTTTATTTTGGAGAGAAAAATAAAATATTTCATTTATCTTTGTTCTTAATTATTTTCCGCAATGTTATAATCTGATAAACGAATGTCATCATTTAAACAAAATTATCCTTAATCCTTACTTGTCCTCATTAAGAAATAAAATTTTAAATTGCATTATTTTGTAAAAGTGTTAATTATTATAAAACATTTAAAAAGATGAAATGAATAAATTTATAACATTGATTTTTAACATTTAAATAACTAGAAAAATATTTGATTAATGATGATTTTTTAATCTATTTATTTTATTTTTCTTCCTTAAATATTTATAAATAGATAATATTTCTTTGAATTTTTTAAATAGATTATTTTGTTGAGAACAAAATAAAATTCTAAGAACAATTTATCGATATTGTTTTTTCTTACTATAGAAAAAAATCAAATATAAAGTCAAATAAATTAAATTTTAAATATTATGATTTTCATTATGGAAATGAGTCAAACTAAAAAATATATCGATAGTTAAATATAATTAATGCATTATGACATTATATTTTCAAACTTGCATTATCATTTTCTTCGTATTTCGTTTTTCATTTTATGTATTTCATTCAATTTAAAGTATTTCTACCGCTGTTATCATTGTAATTAAGAATCTGCATATCTTTTTGTTTTGCCATACACTGAATAAATTGATGAATGCATTGTGAGTGTTAAATACAGTAGATCCCCCTATAAGACGGTAGATACGTTCCGTTCTTTATGAATCAATTTTGTAGGAATCATAGTTTACGGACTACGGCTGTTTGAAAGGTTTTCTTTCATAAAATTAATCGATTCTAGACTAATTCGACTCAACATTTCCAAAATACGTATATTTTTTTGAAAATAATCCGTATAAACTACGTTATAAACAAAAAATTGTAGGATTGCTTACCGAGTGTGTACCGTTCGACTACGCCCGTTGCTAAAGCTTGGTTTCGTCGCGGAACAGCGCATCAAATTGCGGCCGCGATTTCTGATATTATTTTTCTGCGAAAACTTCGTTGACCTTTGGAGACATCATTAATATAAATAATTTTTATGGCCGTTAAATAAGAAATGTTTCTTTCACAAGAAATGTATAAAATTACAGTACTAAACAGACGATAGGTCGCCTAACTCGCCGTAGCGTGACGCTAGACGGCGAAAAATATATATTTAATTATAATAAAGTTACAATAAATTAAGTTAATATATAATTATATATACAGTACCTAATTTATATATAATTAATATATAATTATATGTACAGTACCTAATTTATATATAATTTATATAATACTGTCCAGACGATAGAAATCTCTCCGTAGCGTGGCGCTACGGACGGCGGGTAAGTAGTTCGGCTGCCCGATGACGTTTTACGTATTATAGGAGTTATTTTTACCGTTGTTTACGGATAATGCCACAATTTTTATAGGAATCATAACTATAGGAAACGGTTTTATAGGGGGATCTACTGTATTATATAAGTAAATTCTTACATCATTATTTGTTATAAATAAGAATTAATGTAATTAAATTATTTTTTCATCTCAAGTATTATAATTAACTGTAATGCATTGTTTTCATTGTAAAAATATTAATATATTAAATATTTTGTTCCTGTAAAGAATTGTAACCCAAATATTTAAAAAACTTACATTATTATATCATTGTTTATTATAAATTTAAATTCTATTGAAGATGAAAATCACTGTTCAACTATCTTATATTTCCTAAATTGTTTCTAAATACAGTATAAATATTTTCTTAAGAAACATTTAATTTAATTATGTTTGAATATAAAACAGATGGATTTCTTTTTTTACGTTATTTATCTCGGAAAAATAATTTTTAGTATTTTTGTTGTTTTTAACAATTTACTTCATCTTAGATTTTTCTAATAAATTATTTCTCGACCATAAAAATTCTGCTATGTATATTTTAAAACATCATATTTATTTTATTCTTTGTCTACATTAGAATTTTCTTTTATTTTATAAGTTGACAATTTAAAATCTATCTGTTTTTTTACAATCAGGTAGTATCTTTTTAGTTGAAGACAAACTAAATGTAATATGAATTTATTCTCAACTGATTTGATCTTCTCAGGCTACTTTATTCGGATCATCTAATTAAGATTATTATTTAATTGCTTTAGATATTTAATTATTTTTGACTTAATTTCACACTTTTAAGATAATACAATTCATGTATTTCCGAAATAATTAATTAATTGGTATTTTAGTTTCTATGCATATTTAATTTCTTTTGAGCAACGTAAATCTTTTATTTTGTTTATTAACTGTTGTGTAATATAAAAATAAATATTGAAATAAATCTGTTCTGTAATTCATTTGTAAATTATTCTAACATTGTTTTCGATTTCGATTGTTATGCCCTTTGTGTCTTTTAATGAATTTCATATTAACTTGAATATTTGAATAGTTAAAATTATTTTCATCTGAGAGGATGCATTAATTTACATCAGTTTCCAAAGAATATTTTTGAATACTTTAAATAATAGTTCTCAAAATTCTTATAATTCATTAAATAATCTAAATTACATCTTGTTAAATTTATTAAAATTAATATACTATTAGCTGATATTCAATTGTAATTCTCTAATCTAAAATTAATGAATCCATTCATTAAATATTTTTCATCAGTTTTATATTTTAAAAATACATTTAGAAATTTATTCATGTTTAAAAATTAAGAATAAAATTAAAAGTCTTCTTTTGAAACAAATCAATCATATGTTTTTTTTTATTTTAAATATATTGTGAATATGTTTAGTCTACGTTTTTGCAAATCTGTATATGTGTTAGTTCAGTTTTATTATTAATTTTTAATTATTGAAAATTTATATATCTTAAACTTAATATTTTTAATTATATGGTACCACACGACCTTTGATGATGTAATAGGATAGTGGATAAAATCTTTCATTTCTACCGGATTAAAAACTAATTACAAAAGAAAATTATTTCAAAACAACAAAAAGTATATTCTGCATACAAAAATCAATATTCTGTGATGCAGTTTGACACATATGCAAATTTTGCGAAATATAATACTTATATAGCTCAATCATCATCATTATTTATTCTAAATAAGAAAGAGTATTTTTCTTTTTTAATGATTAACCTGAAACCCTTAGAAATGTATAGTAAATTGTAAATATTAAATGAATACAGATGTAAAAACAAGCAAAATGTTTAATGTTTGTAGTAATTAAAACATTCTAAAAACAAGAATTGACTTGAACAGTTTTTCTACATTTACATTAAATTTTAAAAATAAAGCTTCTATTAAAATATGTTTTCAATTATATATATATATATATATATACCTGTATGTTATAACAGAAGCTTAATATTTCTTTGTAAACATAATCAAAACTACGAAAATTATTATTCTGTTGTCTTAATATATAAAATCCATGTAATCTGTTGGTTCAATAATAAAATAAACAACAAATATTCATAAAAGTAGCGTTTATTTCTCTTACTTTAGCAATAATTTAACTTTTCTTTCTCAAAGAGCGCGTACAAGACTGAATAACAAAGCAGATAAAATTACTGAAGTTAGAGAAAGAGGTGTACAATTTCTCATCCACAGAATATTTAATAAATATTCCTAAATATGGAAATTCTTTATCATTACACAAGAAAAAACCGAGTGCTTAAAGTTAATAAATATTATATTTTCTTTTTATAAAATAAAATATGTTAGATTAATACTTTGAAGTTATTCTAATTTGTGCGGATTTGATAATCATCACGTCATGATTTAAGTGCGTTAATTAAAACATTTAATTACATAAAATATTTATATATATATATGTATATATATGAGAGAGAGAAAGCCCAAATAATTAAAATTGATTTGTCATTTATATTCTTAACAATATATATATGTGTATATATTACATATGTTTCAAATGGAATTTCACATAACGAAAAATAAATAAAAGCTAAATAGCCTTAAACCACGTTACAAGGAAAAAATCAAGTCCATTAAAATAGAATCCATTTGACATGACGTTGGAAAAAAAAAAAAAATGTTATTTTGGCACATGACGAATGTCTAACTTTCACAAATTGTGCTGAATCAACAGAAAAAAGAAAATGGAAATGGAGGTAGTAAGGCATCGACCATAGAATTCAACCAAGAATGGAACGATTTTCGTAGGGAAGCTAGTTGTCATCCGAACTCCTGGTTAGATGATGATGATGATGAGTCTTCATGAGATGAAAGTCGATTACGATGTAGTTTTGGCGTCGTTATATCATTATTTAAAGAGTGGGGGATTCCGAAAGCTGATTGTCCAGTTCCATCTAATATAAAAACAATCTGAAGATAATTAGATATTCCAAAGTACAGTACAGTACAATATGCAGTTTATGTATGATAAATCCATATTTTGCAAATCGATAAGTTATTAATTGAACATATCAGAATAAAAAGAAATGTAATCGCTTGATCACATACAAATTATAATCATCAAAATATATTAATAATAATAATTTTAATATAAAAATAGCAGAAAAATACTTACAATAATTCGGTTTTGCGCCTTTAACAGGTGCTAAACTGTATGACTTTTCTTCTTCGTTACTGCCACCAGAATAAGTTATTGTTGTAGTCGGAAGTGATACAGATCTGGATACAGTATTGGTCGACCATGATTTTGATATTAAGGAATGCGAACGATGAGGAGATAAGTCTGAAGAACGTTTGTTGGTGTTATCCACTGGACTGTTTATTTCTACTCTAGAATCTGAAAGATATTAAATTATATCCAAAACTTAAAATATTTCTGACGAAATCAATATGACCTTATATATATTTGACAAGAATCTAAACAACTTATTAATTAATAATTATTTATTAGTCAGAATTTTAAATATTTCTTGTTTTATGTTTGTTTTTTAAATATTTTTTACATGTAAAAATCTTAACTAGACAGATAACTGAATCAGTTTCAATCGTAATGTTTTCGCAAATAAAAAGACTTTAAGGACGTAAGATCCATTATACTGTCTTGTGTCGCATTCTATACACTTTTTAAATCTATTTTTTCAGCAAACATATAATAAAAAGTTATTATAAAGTAAAATAGCTTACCAAAACACTTCAATATTCTTAACGTTTATTATAGAGTAAATTGATTCCTTGTAAAGTAAATAACAGTATGTAAAGTAATTATTATGACGAATAAAACTTTCGAAATTAAAAATTTTGCATATATATGAATACATATGAGCATTCTTGATATGCTCTTTAATAATTCACATGATTATCAAAGAGTAAATCAAAAAACAAAATAAATAAATATTTCGAGGGCTTCATCATATGAATATAACAGGATCCGAGCGGCTATAAAGAGGTTTATTTGTTTGGTTTGAATAATGTGCAAGTTAATAATGTGACGTAATCCTTTATTCTTGCAACATAAAAATTTGAGCAAAAGTGCCGAGTGGTAAATAAAGTGATAAAAGATGTATACAATAATGATAACACACAATCAGCAAAATCAACGAATGTATTATGATGTAATATACCTAATTGTGAAAGAAAAGTTCACTTCAAAGGTATGAAATCAAGATAAAAGACAAAAAAATTTCTATATGAGAAGCTCAGAAATTCAATGATATTACAAGCACATCAATTTACCGGTTAATTTTTATTTCTTAATTCATAAATACTTTAGTCAGTCTAAATTATTAAAAATGATTGAAAATCATCTAACTTTTATACCTTGCTAATTTCTAAGCGGCATAATGAATTATCAATTATGACGTTACAGAATTATTTATTCAAAATTGTAATATCTTTGTTTCTTGCATTGCAAATACGAATGAAAAGGTTGGATAAACTTTGGTTAAATTTATAAATAGGAAATATCGATTTTTAAAATAATTTCTCTCGATATTTCATTTTAATACCGACAAGAGAGCAGAGAGAGAAATTTAGGATGTCTGTCCAAGTTATGAAGTGAAACGGAAGACATAAAGAATATAAATGTCATAAACATCAGTTACCGAAGTTCGGTTCATTATTTGGACAAAGATTCACATTAATTTTCTAAACATAAATAAACTTTTTCAAATAACATATACTTTATACGTGTTATTTAAAAATAGAAGNAACTTGTAAATTGTATGCAATTATTTCTTTAAAAAATGTTATAAAAGAATAAAAATATTTATAAACTGAATAGCAAAATGTAGTTTTTTTGAAAATTAGTAGCGAAATATCGCTATTGCAGTTTTGATTAATTCTTCTCAAGAAATATATTGCGAAACATATTCATTACGGATACTAAAGAGATCAAACAGATCTTTGCATAAAAAAGAAGAAATTTCAAATAGAATTACAAAGTAGCAATAGTCACTTTTGTATTATGTATAGCATATTTTTCATTTTATTGTATAATTCGAGAAATTTTCCCATTAGACCCATTAAAACTCATTTTTAAAATTCTATGGGTTTTGGTTCAGTTTTGACAAATTCTGTCATTTAGATCATCAACTGTTTCATACTATTATTAAAATAATAGCGCTTCATCGTACGTCATTTCTCATATAAGCATTTCCATCAGGTAACAACGATAAGAGAATTTTAAACGATTTTTTGTATCGTGACTGAAAGTATGACCTCATTTTACCTTCACGATGTTTAATTTTTTCCTTTTTGTTTTGTTTTAGAAATTTCTATATTTATACTAAGCGTCGTATACGTCGTAATATAATTTGCAAGTATTACATAAATGATTTTTGTAGTTTAATTTGAAAAATCACAAAGCATATATGAAAGATTTTCTTTTTATTAAGAGATGAATTTTATAAACAATGAATATTACACTATCCTATCATTAATAGCTATTTTTTATTTGTCAGAAATACAAATTGGCAATGAGAAAAATAGCTATCCCACTGCTATTAGGGCATACTGCGTAAAATTTTACATAAAGTTTTATTTTGCTAAATAAAATTTAATTTTTTAACTTTTGTACACCAATGAAAGCATAAAAAATTAACAATTAAAGAAATGAAAACAATTTAAAAAATTAGATAAGAAAATTTTATTTATAATTTTTTAAAATCATCAAAATCTGCTTATAAGGTTTTCAACGTCGATCTGCATGCATGTCCGTAAGAAAGAAAGATTTTTGGATTATAGATATACGTGTATATGTCAATAGATCATATTGTCAGTACGCGAATGGTAAGAGGAATACGAATTCCAATCTGAGTATGAGCAATATTTTAACATTGTGATAGTCTGCGAGTATTTTTTTATAGTTGGACTTTGAGGACTGGACAAAATCAAATTCTAAGTACTGGGCAATTCTGGATGCTCATATTAAGATGGCACTGTGAGAATTTTCTATATCTTTTTTAATGAAAAAATGTTTCCTGTCATAGCTTACTGCTCATGTTGTGACGGATTGATTTGAGGACAATGTTCAAAGGATGAACTAGCAGGTTAGAACTCAGACTTTAATATTAATCAATCATATTTAGCGTGGATCATTGAATAAGTGCGAGGGGAGACATGAAAGTCAATGCTGAACTGATGAGATAATATAATAGAAAATATCGGAGAATACATACTAAAAGCTGATTAAGAGTATTTATGAAAAACTAAATGCCATAAATAAATAAATTACAGCTTTTAGTCATCATAAATTATTTACAAATCAGCAGGTGTCCGGATATTAATATGATAGTCTGTTTGTTTATTTATTATATAGTATTAATAACTATTGTTTTTATTTTTGAAAATATAGTGTTTAAAATGAGAGGAAAATAAATTATTACTTGTCTAATTTTATTTGGAAAGAATATTCTAGAGATGATACTTTCCAAAGAAATATAAAAATTGATTATTTATTCTACAAAATCTTACCAATAATTTTCAAAAAAATTCGTCTGCTACAAGACTGGTATTAAAATTTGTTCTTATTAAGAATATATACAGGATATGGACTTGTAAAATAATATTTTATCTTTTTATATTTTTAAATAAAGCTTATTTTGTATGAGTTCGGATTTAAACATTTTAGTCAATTCACTTTATTTTGTAACAGCAAAAGCAAGAATTAATATTTCAGAATAGGAGAAATGTGGCTTGTTTATCTCAATATAAGTATTAATATATATATATAGATAAACATATAATTATTTTTACATATTATTGCATATTTATACAACTATTTAAATTATTTAAACATATAAAATTTAACAGTCTATAATTAAAATTAAAATATTAATTACATTAATGTTTTATAATTAATAATTATAAAATACAGTATTAATTGTATTTAAACAAATATTGATAATTAATTTGTTTAATTGCTAAACAAAGATACTATAAAGATTTAAAACATATACCAGTACTATAAAGATATATTTCCTTAAACAGTACACACTACGTCATGTTTGTTTACCTGAACTATCTAAAACAATATTGGATATATATCTTAATTTTTATGTTAACTCTTATCTTACACATTAATTATTCTTATATTTTGTTAATATAACTTATAAAATATGTAAGATTATGCAAATGTATTCATATAACTAAATTTATTATTAAAAGTTTATAGTTTATAAATAATAAATAATTAAAATGAAAAATTACTTAATTACATTAACATTCATAAAATAATCTTATATTTGTAATCAATTAAAGCAAATTTTAGTTTGAACTTTAAATCAGATCTATTTCAAATTTATTTTGTTTGTTGAATTAGTAAAATTGTTTAATTTTTAAGATATTTAATTTTTCACCCTGGAACAATTTTCAAATTTAACTAATATTTTTACGACAAACCTACAGAAATAGAAGTTAATTAGTAAAAGTAAACATTACTCACAAAATAAAATAATTTAAAAGTCAATATTTACGCTGTTAAGAAATTTATTGTATAATTTGAATCTATCTGTACTTATTTTTATGAATTTATGTTCATAAAAATAAGTACCCAACATTGGTAAACATTTAAAAATTTTTCTTATTATACACATAATGACAATTATTTATAATAAAATGATATAAAATCATTAGAGGATTTTTCGGTAATGTAAATTATAAATTAATTTTTAAGGTAAAAGTTGTGTGATTTATAAACTTTTGATGATATCTTTTATAAAGTTGAGTATCTCCAGAATTGAGTAATGAGGATTATTATGAAAACAGAATCGAAATTTATCTTTTCGTACGATATTCGAAAAGTCAAAATTATTTTTTATTTCGATTGGTATAGAGCTACACAAAAATATTATGAATGTTAATTGAGCTCTTTAGTTACTAAAAGGAAGATCGTTGTTTTAGAAAAACGATCTTCGAATCGAATCATATCGCGTAAAGTTCATACGTAACTAAAAGTTTAATACATTTATTTAAAAATATGATATATATAACTGTTAATGGATTTTCTTAATATATTTATATTACATATATATATAATATTATATTTATGATACTACATTAAAGCTCAATAAAATAGTTGAAACAATTAAAAATAATAATACAGTAATAATAAATTTTAGTAAGACTTTAAACGTTTTTCATGATTTAAATCTACTTATAATATTAATTTAAAAATTAATATAAAATTAATTTATATTTTAACAGATTTAAACTATTTAATTAAAGCGATAATATTTTTCTAGTAATAAAATATTTTACTGTGGATCAAAACTTTATTTTATAATATCTAATCGTCTCTCCCAAAATCAGGTTCAAAGAAATGGTAATAAAACATTAATA